TGTGTAATATAACGTACAGTTTTAAGGAGTCAATTTTCTTATTAACTCTAAAACTAAAAGTGATGGTCTCAGCTGAAAGACGACGAGGACTCAAGGAAACAGAGCAAAAGAAATAACATGAAACATACAACACAAACCACGATGAAAACGCTGAGTGAGAACGTGAGAGTGAGAACCCAGATGTGGAGCAGGAGTGTGGCCTGGAGACTTAAAAACCCGCTCACCAAAAAGCAGCAGATTAAACTGTTCAATTTGGAAGGTTTGTTTAAAGGCCAATTGTAATGTTGAAGCACCCATTTGGAGACAGAAGATCGATGCTTGCAGTGACGTCTGGTGTTGAGGGAAACGTGGCCTTCAGCTTCAGCGTGTTGCAGTTGAAGTTGGCAACATGGAGACCAAAGTGGGAGATTNGAGCACTCTGGCAGCCAGCTGTGCTCCTCCCAGCAACCCTCTGTCGCCCAGCTGAACCCCTCCACTCCCCCACCCCGCTTCCAAGTCTGTTCACGCTGCCAGAGGGACTCATGTGCACCGCAGAGGGCCATGTTTTGGGTAGTAAAGCAAGGAGGCAGGCCAAGGCAGCAGCTGCCCCTCTCCATTTATACCATCACTGTTATTCCAGCCTTTCATCTCCATCTACCACAGTCTGATCTGGACTGGTTGGGACTTCACTTTATCTTATCTCCCTTTCCTCAGCTCACTCTTTGTACTTTTCACCTGTTCCGGCATTCAGCTGCGTGCACAGAGCTAAAAGCAGATTGAATGGTGGAAATTGGGTGTGATGTGTTTGATGGTGTAACAGGATGGAGGGGCTCGTTTGGACTGTGATCATGGCGTCCCTCTATTGGCTCGTCTGTTCTCCTATTGGCTGTCCACTGCCAGTGTCTCCTCCTCTCACTATGTGCCTGAGTGGTCAGCCACCTGGAGCGTTTGATGTGTGCAAACAGCTCCGGCCCTGGTTCTGCCAGGGGCAGTTGAGGCAGAAAGGGGGTGAGATGAACGCAGGCAGATAATCGCAAAGCACATCACGCTCCAGATCTTGCCCCAGAATCATTCCCTTGTCTGGACACGTAGAAGAGGTGTGACTGGAAGGTGGGGTGGCTTTGCAGGGTGTTGGGGTGAGACTTTGTAAGAGACTGCTGAAAGGAAAATGGACCTGATAACTGCTGGGACGGGTTCTACTTTGACAGATTATGTAAGAGCAGGAACTGTTTTAGGGAGATATTACACACTGTGGATGTGTCCAGTAAATAGTCAGCTGGTGTGTTTTTATGGTATGTTTTAGTGAAGAACTTGGTTTGATCTGTGATGTAAGTTGCAGCAGTGCCAGACTCCAGAGGGCCACAGGAACAGAAGCACGTCCAGCTCCCTTCTGCTTTATTCATAACGCTAACAGTGTGCACTGTATTTAGAATGCACATACACTTTATTTGTAATTACATAAGCTGACTTCTGCACAGCATTCCTGTTGGTGGTTTGATCATCGGTTTGCAGTATCTGACTGGAGAAACTATCCGAGAGAGGAGGAGGAGAGAGCACAGAGAGAACCACCTGATATCCATTGTACATTGAAGGTGGGACTTCATTGTGGTGATGTCCGCATAACAATTTTAAGAACCGAATATTCGCCCACCACCTGCCACTCAATCATATCATCAGTTATACTGTTATTAATGATAAATATTTTTGGCCATGTCCCCCTGCCCCACTACAGGACTGTGACATGTCTTCAACTCTAATTTCCTATTAGGTTTGTTCTACAAAGTTCACGCTGGCACTGCGATAATAAAGCTTAAATTAACTGAATATAAAGCGTGAGGTGGACTCATATCAGTAGACACAATCTTCTGAGGATTATGTCTGCCAATAAACTTGGTTTCACATTCTGCAGTACTGGCTGACAGACACAATGGCCTTGTTCTCATCTGGCATTAACATGCATCCTGCTTGGTCCGTGCACAAGTGGAAAGCTCCTCGTACAGGTAGGAATGCTCACAAGATGCACTGAGATCTGATAGCTCAGACAACATGTGGAGGTGGTCTGGGCTGCATATGGCATCTTTTAGTTGTGTGTTCTGGGCCACTTTGAAGGACCGCCTTCCCAACTGATGTCACCTGGATTAGCAGAACCATGGTTTCATTCTCACATCATGTAAACTGGTTCCGTTGATGACATCTGGAAATTCTGAGAGGCCCATTGAAATATATTTGGGATATGATCCTAGTGGGTCAAATGTCTTGAGTGAGCTGGTTTGTCTGGAACACATCAAGGAATAGACTGGTCTGTCTTTTGTTTTGTTGTTTTTTTTCTTTTGATCTCCAGCAAACTGAGCACAGACTGTGCATTCCTACATCCTGATGGTTAGAAACGACAACATTTATCTTGGCAAATGTAAATGCTGTGTGTGTTTATTGGAATGTAAAGCAGGGAAATTCTGATCAGAAGCAATCACTCAAGATGTGGACGTGGAGATGCATTCTGATGACTGCTGTGAAATGACATGCTTACTGCCCCACACTCACTTTAATGCAAAGTGTGAATGTGGCTGTTGTGGTCCAAAGTCAAAATCACAATGTTCCCATTATGGGGTTTATAACTTCGTGATCTTAAGCTGAAAGTAACACGCTGTCTCCTCTCTAAACTGGCAAAAGTGAATGATTACATAATGTCCTCTTTCTTTGCTGCCTGTCTCTGTTTTATATGACTTACTTTTGATTTGCCTCCTGGGCTTTTCAGCAACTAGGTCAAACATAGTCTTGGCCCCTGGTGTAAACAAGATGTGACACAGCAACAGCTGGGGCCCAGGATGCAGCTGTGGCTGCTGATGTGCAGATGGACAGCCAATAGATTGACCAGTTTGTGTTCAGGAGTGCAGGGACTCCGCTGTGATCGTAACTTCAGGTAACGTCACACATCAGAAACTACTGTTGATGTATTTTCACCTGAAGTATGCTTTCAAGCTAACGGAGGTCGTCTCCAGAGGTAAGCGTTAGAATCTCATTTTACCTTTAACTTTTCGTGGCAGCATTTTAGAGTTATGAGGATATATTTACGTTTTAAACCATTTCGATTGGGGCAGTTCTTCCATGCAAAAGTCTAATTTCAGACGTTTTTCATTAAATCTTTGAATGACAGTCTCTCGGTTAAACTGGTCGCATCACAACATGACCAATACGGCACTTGTGTGTTCCTGCTGCACTGTCATAAAGCCACTCTGTGGGACAGAGAAACAGACAAGCAGTGTAAGCAAACCAGTTGGCTTCATAGGCAACTTGTGAATGTGTTGGATCATCTCATTTTCATTATCTTCTTAAACAGATGATTCTGACAGAGCATTTCACAGCCACTAAAAGCAGTCAGGAACACCTCTCAGCTCCCTCTGCTGACGGCTTTGTGTAACTGAAATATCTCCCAACTTCTTAGACAGATAAAGCTGTAGAATTTATAAACTCTGTTCATTTCTGTGGCTTTTAGACTTGGCAGTCAGTTGTAATAACACGTCTTTAACAGGCTTAATTCAGCGTTCATAGCTGCTCATGGCTTTGCATTGCAGGGTTCCTCTCTTACAAGGTCAAGCATTTTCAAAAAGGTCTTCTGAATCCACCAGGGTTTTCTATCATGAACTGGTTTTGCACTGAAGAGCTTTCATGTGCTTCATCAGTGAGGAGGAGGAGCATAAAAATAGCACCATGATTTAAAGACTTTGAACTGTGGATGTTATCTCATCCAATAAACACCCTCCGCCAACTGCTTTCATGAGGTGAGCTTTGTAAAGTCCCGGAACGGCGCACCTTAAAATGAATTAACCAAGGCTGCTGTTGGGTCTTCGTCTGCCCATGTTATTTGCAGATGTGATTACAGCAGCTGTTTCTGCTTTGCACTGCTGGTGTCATACCAGGATTCAAAACAAAAGACTCAAATTCTTCATGCTGTTTTATCAGTAGGAGGCTGAGCTACATATGTTGAGCTCCACAGGGCCTTTTGCAGGCTTTTTATTCCAATAATTTTACATGTGGCAGGGGCATGCAAATGAATTTCGCAACGAAGACAAAAACCATTTAGCAGCTTCAGGATTCAAAGTACATGCACAAGTTCTTGTGTGGGCAAACTTGCACAGTCCATTTAGCCACCGATGTCACTTTCTTTGTACTTTAGTGGTCACATGCTGCGGCTGTTAGATGCCCACTGTCGCGCGCCGTCCCGCCCATAAGCCAGGAATCGGCTGCAGCGCTCCGGATGTGGCCCCGGTCCGTCTGCGCTCAGCTGTGGTTTGGTTTGGCCCAAGATGCCCTTTAGACTTACATTCGGCCCGACTTTACCATCCTGTTCACTACTGCGCGTGATGACCATTTTAGACGACAGGTGAGGAAAAACCTGTTACACAAACGCCTTCAGGGTCGGCTCGTAATCTTCAGTTTCATGCGGGAATTCTTTGGCGTGCTGAATACTGTTGAGCTGCACGACTTGAGAAGCGCAACAGCCCTGACTATTGCAGAACAAATAATACAATACAATACAAAAAGGATTTTACTGAATCTATGAAAGCAGAAATCTAACTGAATTAAAAATGTCAGGCACGATGAAAACTCTCAAACACAAATAAAACAATGACCATAAAATAAACGTTGACACAAACACCGAGACTACATGGGTTCACTTTGAAAACACACCGTGGCTCGTCAGTAAAAGCCTCACATCTACCAGACTACCAACCCTGCAAACCTGCTCCATGGAAAGTCCTCAGCGGGTTGTGCACCTCTTTACATCAGAAAATCCCCTTTTCCTTTAGTTCAGCATTCCTTGTCGTACAAAGAGTCTGGTATTTTGTACGTAATGTTGTCTAACAACACTCCAATACAGCTGCTGCAGCGTCCGTAGCCGAATGTCAGTTTTACGTGATGTTCGTGAACTACACACGCAGTGAATCCGGTCTCGTCCTTCGCGTCCGAACACCGTGTGTCTGTTCGACCTGGGAACCGGCCGAGCTGGTGCCATGCTGAGCATGGAGGTGGCCAAGACAGACAGCAGAAACAACCCGCTGGCCACAGCCAGGATCCTGTCCCGGGTCTTTTTGTGGTGAGTGATGACTTTGTCAGGCTGCTGTGAAGGTGCTGCGACCTCATTAAGCAGAGAGACGGGCAGCTTGTCAGCGGACTGTTTGGTGCATCAGTGCTGCAGAATAACCAACATATTGGTCATTCTTGTTTTAATTGGAGCTGCTAAAATCAGACTGGAGCTAATTAGACATTTCACTTTTTCAAAACAGATGTCCTGTGTGGCCTCAACGCCTTCAGTCAGAACTTTCTTTAATGACTTGTTGCAGCCTTGAGGCCATTCTCTCCAAACCAACCCTGGCGATGTAAGACGCTCCTTTAGGTGATGCAGTCTGCATGTTCCGTGTTGATAGAAGCATGTTATAGACTCTGGAGTGTTGTCTGCCAGCCGTCCTTCAAAAACTCGTAAATGATCCAGGAGCAGAGGTGTCTCCAGGGTTCAGGCCAGAGGTGATACTGATGCCTTCAAACGCATCAGTTCGCTCTTCACGTAATGACGAAAATTCGAAGAGTCCAAAAAATGTCAGAAGTTCACAGAAAGATTGTGTCAGAGTGGGACAACCCAGCGAGCAGCGAACGTTCCCACAGCTTTGGCTAACGTTCCCTATAGGTTCTCTGAAAGTTTTAAAACAAAAGCATGTCAGTGTAATGTTCAAAGAATATTATAATAACATTAGTATTTAAATAATGTTCCTGTATTATATGTTAACAGAGAGAGAACGTTTTAGGTGCAACGTTCTAAAGATGTTGTTGAGTGGCGCGATCATAGAACGTTTCTCTATAAAACATTACCACAATGTTACATGATAACAAAGGAAGGAGGTTCTCTGAGAAACATTCTGAAATTGTTTTCAGAATATTACTAAAGCCTCAGATTACACGATGTTTATTTCTGGAACATTCCTGGTACGTGACGGGTTAACACAGGTGGAACATTTGCTGTCAGCATTCTGAGGATGTTTTGAGGATGTTATTGTGTTAATGATTATCGAATGTTCTTCTATTAAACGTTGTCATGATGTTAAAGGAAAACAACGTTCTCAAATGTTCATTCGGAAAATGTATTAATCATGAAGAACATTTCCAAAGTAATATCTGGAAAATGTTTTAACGATGTTATGAAGGCCTCATATTATAATACATTATTTTTAAAACACTCTTACAATGTTGCATAATAATATCAGAGGAACATTCTTACTGCAACATTTGGAAAATGTTCTCTGAATGTTATAAAGACTACGTTACATCTCCTTCAATTCTGAGAGATAAAATTGTGTTTTCCAGTTTTTGATAGAAGAATGCTAAAGAAGAACGCTGTGCTGTGGATGGAAATAGCTGTTTTCTTCTGGAAACTGAAAGAACTCCCAACCTAAAACTCAATTTCTACAATACTAACTAAAATACTGGGAATAAACCAACCACGCCATCAGTGAACCTTTAACTGAACACCCAGACAGCCTTATCGTGTGGTTGCAGGGGATGTGAAGAACTGCTGCTGTCGATGTGATGAGATGCAGTCCGTCTACTCTTCTTTTGAAAGTTCAGAAATCCTCGTGTCGGATATTGGCCAGAAATTTTTATATCATGCGTCACTGATAATTAGCATTCTTGAGGTGTTCCTGTTTGACTTTGAGGGCTTGGCTCCTGACGCGGTAGATTTGGCCATTCTCATGCTTGCACAGTCCTGGAAAAAATGATTGGACCATCCTTGTTTTCTTAAATTTCTCGTTTCCTGTTATCGTGTTTGTGTTTGAGCTGCTTTCCTCCTGTTGTTTTGCACAGGGCTGACCAGAGTAGATAGAGGTCATAGTGGAGTGAAACTTTGTGTGAAATTGGATCCACGTTTCAGAGGATTACTGTCAGTTGTGTTGTACCTGCAGGTACAGGTAGTGTTTATTTCTGGTTTTAGCTGGCCTGTCCACCAAATCTGCATTATGTATTTGCCGGGGGCCAATGCTGACACAAACATGGAGCTATAAATCAGCCTGTGACATTGATGTATTGATGGGTCCCTTAGGGATGTTCTCTGGCTAATGGTATTTTCCCAGTACGTGCTGCTCCTTGGGATCCATTCTTGCACAATATGGTGTCATGTTTAAACTTTGTACCACTGAAACATGTTGGACTGTCCCAGTGACATGAATGCTTTAGTGGCCTTTGGTGGAGTTTTTGTGAGCTAATGTGAAACTAAAACTGTAGTCCTGATACTTAGATCCAGTGGGGCCTGTGATCCCCATCAAATGGACCCTAATGTACAACTTACTGCAAAACAATCCGGCTGTGATTATAGACAGTGATATTAAAGTAGACAAACCGATAACTGCGTGATTATATAATTTTTCCCCCCCAATTTGTTTATTGTCAAGTCTGTTTTATTTTTACTGACTTGTAAAGGATTATACATGCTTGGTTTTGTGTCTTCATGTCTTCTCATGCTTGCAGCTGATCCAGGGCCCAGTCGCTCAAGAAAAAACAAACACAAATACCTCCTCAAAGCAACGCCTATAAAACTGGCCTCCCCCCAAATAAAGGACTCTTAATGGTCTTTATTTTGCTAAATATTGGCACATGGTTAAAATATTCTCCATTTATATTTGTTTTAATTCGTTATGGGTTGGTACATAGGGATTTTCTAACCCCATTTAAAGTAACAGGGATTACCTGGTCCTAGACAGTAAAACATGGGAGTTCCACTTTCGGATGCTCAATATTAAACTTTTAGAACAACTGGGCCTCCCTAGCAATAAGAACATGGACAGCTCTGGTGGACTGACTTCTCTAATCTAACGTCTCTGTTTCAGCTGGCTAACCCCCTTGCTGCACCTCGGCCACAAACGGAGGCTCGAGGAAAGTGACATGTTCAGTCTTCTTCCAGAGGATCGGTCTGAAACCCTGGGAAAGGAGCTGCAGAGGTACTCTATCGTTGTCATTTACTATTAGACCCAATGTCTAGTAAGAGACTTGTCTGACTCACCGCATGTAGAATGCAGGTAGAAGCCACAGCCCTGTTGTTCTTTTAATGGTGCCTTATTTCCCCGATGGAATTATGTTGGTTATAACACATAACATAGTTCTACACTGCTGCTTCCTCTAGAGTGCGCAGATCTATGAAGTTGCCACCTCTTTTTCCACCCACCCCGACACAATAACAAGTTGTAATACTGGAGAAATTCAGCTGTACGTGCTCAACAAGTCAACAAAGAATAATGATCCAGAAAGGCCCATCCTACATGATGACAGGAATGGTTCCCTTAACAACGTTGGAGTCTGATTTTGTGTCATCTGTACACTGAAGAATTGCAACCTCATCGTGGGGGAGAGGTTTGCGTGATCCTGACAGCTATGTTGTTGGGGGCAATAGCAACAGGAGGGAAATAGGGTCTCTCAAGGCAAGTGGTCAGACTAAGAGCGATTCATAAGACCTCCATGACTGTAGTGAAAACGATGGGCATCACATTGCCTGCATTAGGAAGACCAAGGCGCCTTTCAGGAGTCGGACTCGGTCGTGGAGCTTGCAGGGGAGCGTCTGGTGACCAAGTCTTGATGCACGTGGCAACATGGGACGGCAATGTGTAAACCTACTGCAGTAAAGGAGGCCGTTAGGGTGAAGCAGGAGGCCTTTCATGCCTGAATTGCCCGGGGGTGGTCCTAAATCAGCAGACAGCTACTTGAAAGTACTTCAGAATCTTGCGTTTGAGTGACTGATAGGAAAATGGAGCGTGAGTTGGACAAGCAGCTTGGTGCAGCATTAGCAGGAATGCGGGGTTGTACCAGATGGAGCTAAGCTAGAAGTTAAGCTTTTGATTTACCAGTCAATCTATATTTCAACCCTAACCTATGTTCATGAATTTCGGGTCGTGACCGAAAGAAAGAGATGTCAGATACATGTGTCTCCGTAGAGTGGCTAGGATCAGTCTGTGAGACATGGTGAGGAGCTTGATATCTGGAGAGAGCTACGAGTAGAGTCGCTGCTCTGTCACGCTTGAAGGAGCATCTGATTGGAGCATCTGAATAAAATGCCTCCTGGGCAACTTCCTTTGGAAGTGTACCAGGCAAAACCAGCTAGGTGGGAAGGAATCACATATCTGGCTTTGGAATAGAGCCTCTGGATCCCCAGGACAAATTGAAAATTCTAGCTGGGAAGAGGGACGTCTGGAATGACGTGCTTCCTCTACCGCCTCCACGACCTGAGCCTGAATAAGTGGAGAAAAACGTGGATGTAGGGATCTAAGGAGGAACTGTTCAGCTGTTGTGTTGAATGCTTATTTTGTTCATGATATGTCTTGTAGCAAATAATAAACACCCTGTGGACACATCAACAAGGTCAAAAAATAGATTTTCACTGGAGAGTGTCTTTAATGTTTCAGTTTTCATACGCATGCTAAGTTCAGCCTACAGCGACTGTTCTGTTCATCAGCCACTGTTTTCAGCATCAGTGTCCTGCTGTTGAGCATACTCAAAGCTGTAATGTGATGATTTTGATTACAAAGTGTATGACAGTGGATTTTCTTTTTCTTCTAAATCCTGAATAGGAAAATAATCTCGACTAATTCTGCCCTGCTTGTGAGCACTCACTTTGTGTTCAAAGTTAAAGTAAAATGACATCTGCTTGTCTCCTGTATGGAGCAGCAATCATCATTTACAGTTTGTACTTTAAGCTTTAATGTAATCTTGTATTTGAACAATTCTGCTACCGCAAACATTGAACGTTTCATTCATTATTGGTAAAAGTAAGTAGGGACATAAAAGGCAGTTTTCGCTCCTTTGTCTTGCTCTTAAAAATATTTTTCTGGCCACAACATTATGACAGGAGTTATGATTTGACAGTTATGATATGTTACAGCTGAACTGATGCACTTTTACATGTTTGTATATGTAGGTTATGGGACCAAGAAGTTAGAAGGGCGACAAAGGAATCAGAGAAGCCAAAACTCTCCAGAGTTCTTATTAAGTGCTATGGAAAGTCCTATGCAGTGGCTGGGCTGTTTGTATTTTTACAGGTAAGTTTTGGCTATTTAAAGCTTTCTCTATATTTTGTATATTTATATTTTCTTCAATCCTCTGTTACTGTTTTTGATTAGCTGTGACATGTTTTTGAGAATACTAGCAGCAAAAGTTTAGCTACGTCACTACGACTTTAACATTCATGACTCAATGTTTTCCACATCTGATGTTTGCAGTGGATGAGTTAGAGATCGTCTGCATACTCCATTATGCATTTCTGTTCACTGTCTTTGTCATAAAGGAGGCAATTAAAGTGATCCAGCCACTTCTTCTGGGGAAAATAATCCTGTTCTTTGAGGATTATCATCCAGACGATGAGAGAAGTCTTTACATGGCGTACGGTTACGCTGCTGCGATGTCCATCTCCACCTTTGCTCTCACTATCCTCCAACATCTCTACTTCTATCACGTCCAAAGAACAGGCATGAAGATGAGAGTGGCCATGTGTCACATGGTCTACAGGAAGGTCAGTGAAGATTTTGCAGATTTGTAGCAGAAATGCAGATTTCATTTGACCGTCATCGCTCTGAGAGATTCGCTGTTCGTCCGACAAGTGAAATATTTCTCGTCAGGCTCTTGGCCTCAACAGTGAATCCATGGGACAAACAACCACCGGACAAATCGTGAACCTCCTTTCAAATGATGTCAGTCGCTTTGATGAGGTAAGGCGACACGAACATGCTAAAATATACAACAGAGAAAACTAGAACAAACTACAAGTTAAGTTCAGAGATTTTTAACTGCTAGATCACATGGCTATGAAGTTGAAATCAACTTTTACATTTTTTATAATCACAGTTTTGACAAACATTTAGTATTAAGTAGGTATTAGCTAACAGTAGCTACACAAACTATCCCCTCAAACCTTTAGTATGCATGTTTCTGTACTGCTACAGGCTTTACGGACTTCTGTAAACAATGAACGATAGAACAGCCAAAAGCAGGTCAGCACTATTTCTGCAGATCTTGCTGTCACCATTAATCATTGTGTCTTTAGATTACAATCAATCTGCACTACCTGTGGTTGGGCCCTCTACAAGCGATAGTCATCATCGTTCTGCTTTGGTACGAGATCGGCCCCTCATGTCTAGCAGGTGTGGCGGTCATTACACTCATGATGCCTCTACAGACTTGGTTTGGAAAACTGTTTGGTATCTTCAGGTAAGAGACAAGATGACAGCANGAGCAATAAAAATCACAGAATCAGAAGCTCTGGTGGTGTGATCCGTTGATTTACACCTTCCTGTGAAGGGCTGTAAAGTTTGTGTCTCTCTGGCATCTGTGTCAGTTCATATCCCACAGCATGGATTATGATGAACGATATTTGCTGTGTTTGATTGTTGGTGGAGAGGCAAGGTCAGGCCTGGACGAAGAAGGACGAAGAAGCCTATCAACAAGCTTGAGACAAACTATACGCCAGGTAGGGTTCCTCCGTTGTTGTGCAACGTGCCTACAGAGATAAGCTTAACCAATGGCCAAAGACTGTTGTAAATGAGTATGTTAAGCTACGAGAGTTTAGTGATTTCCACCAAACGTGTAGTGACGCCATGCCTCATGTCAAGGGTCTTCAGGTTCTGGACAACTGCGAAGACAATCAAAAGCTGCTTGTCAAACTCCCTGATTGGGTTACGTCCAGGTGGAATCGCTACGTCACAGAGCAATTAGATCAAGCCAAAGACTATCCGAGCTTGAGAGAGTTTGCTTCATTCACATCCAAGGAAGCTTGCATAGCATGCAATCCAGTGTCGTCACTGCATGCACTTTAGGCTTTAGCCTTCTGAAGAAAAGTCCTTAAGAGAAATAAAGAGACCAAAGGCAAACACCTTTGCCACTAATGTAACGGCTCCAGGTGCAAGTCACACAACCAAAGTCATCGCTTTTGATGACAAGTCAAAAGATTCAAACAAATCAAAGAAATTGAGCACACCAGTATATAGTCCAAACCTATTTAAGTGTATGTGAAAACCACTCAACACATACATGTCAAAAACTCAAGGAAAAATCTTTGGAAGAAAGGAGAGTTTGTTCAGGACAGTAAACTGTGTTTTGCATGCCTGAGAAGAGGACACATCTCGAAAGACTGCGGAAACAAAGCCATGTGTGGCATATGCAAAGGGCACCATCCAACTCTGCTGCATGCAGACAAGTTTTCTATACAGAGTGTCCCACCAGGTGGAGAAAATACCGCGTCATTATCATGCTGTGTCACAGGAGATGAAGGTGGGAGCACATCAATGATCGTGCCTGTATGGAGCTCATCACCTGACACCCCAGACTCCAAAATCCTGGTGTATGCCCTACTGGACACCTAAAGCACTCATCCGTTTGGCGACAAAGAGGTATGTGAAAAACGAAGATGGTGATGCTGAGAGAGCAGACAAGCCTCCAGAGCCTGGGCATGCGTGGTGCATCCCACATTAGGGGATGTGCAACCACGATGCAGAGAGTGCTAGGAGGAAGGTGGAATGCAGAAAATGATACCTTCGGTTTCAAAGTCTTGCTTGATGAGAAACCAGCTATACGACATGGGATCCTCTCAGTAGTGGCATCCGTGTTTGATCCGTCAGGATTCTTAACCCCATTCATCTTAACAGGAAAGAGAATCCTTCAAAAGATGTGTCACAAGGGCGTTGCCTGGGATGAACCGCTGCCACGTGAGTTGGAGCCAAGATTGGAGAGTTAGGAGAAGGACACAAAAAATCTTGACAAGATTCAGATCCCAAGATGCTTCAGTCCAGAGAATTTTGGAAGGATCCTGAAAGTAGAACTGCATCACTTCTCAGATGCAAGCCGTCAAGGCTACGGTCAGTGCACATATATCAGACTGGTAGGTGAGGATAAGGTGCACTGTTCCTTGATCATGGGCAAGTCAACAGTTGCGCCCACAAAAACAGTCACCACACCAAGCTGACTGCAGCAGCGGTTTCGGCAGCTGTGGGCAATGTGCTAAAGGAGGAACTTGAGCTCAGAGCAGACAGAGTTTTTCTGGACAGACTCACGAGTTGTCATAGGTTACATCAACAATGCAGCCAAACGGTTTCACGTCTTTGTCGCAAACCGTGTTCAGAGGATACGAGAAACTACCGATCCAGGACAGTGGTTCTACGTTGACACCAAAGAAAACCCTGCTGATCATGCCTCAAGTGGCCTGAATGTGTCAGAATTAATCAGCTCAAGCTGGCTTACTGGTCCAAAGTTGCTATGGGAAGCAGAGGTTGTGGTAAGTCATGGAACTGGGGAGCTGTTGGTGGGAGATCCTGTGATAAAAGCAACCCAAATGTTGAGAACCGAGGCTACAAGGCATGTCAGTTTTCAAGAGCAGCTGTTCCGGTTCACTAAATGGAATATGGCTGTAGATGCAATCGCTCAAATCCAGTGGCTAGCAAAGAGGATAAAGCAAACAGAACCTCTAACTGTTGAGGAAAGAAGAAGGGCTTCACTTGCTCTTGTCAGGCTTGCTCAGCAAGACGCATTTAAAGAAGAGTTGCACATACTTGGCCAGAAATCTGGAAAACTGCCTCTCAATCATAAACTCTACCAGCTTGAGCCACACCTCGAAGATGGTTGAATGAGGGTGGAAGGAAGACTGAAAAGAACATCTGCACCACTTGATCTCAGACAACTGGTAATCTTTCCACAAGACAGTATCGGTACATGCCTCATTCTTGCACATTATCATGAAAAGACACAACACCAAAGCAGAGGACCAACCCTAAATGAACTTAGGACCAATGGTTACTGGATCATCTGTGGCAGTAAGGCAGTAGCTCAGTAGATAAGACAGTGTGTTCCCTGCAGAAGAGCTCGCAGGCCATCAGAGGAACAGCAGATGGCAGATCTGCCCAATGACCGAGTTGACCCCTCACCACTGTTCACCTACTGCAGTATGGACTGTTTTGGCCACGTCTTACAAAACAAGGTTGCAAGGAACATAAACGTTATGGTCTCCTTTTCACGTGCCTATGCTCCAGGGCAGTTCATGTGGAGATGTTGGAAGACATGACAACAGACGCACTTCTTAATGCTACACATCCATCCGTGGAGCTGTAAGACATATAAGATCAGATCAGGGAACCAACACTGTTGGAGAAAGAATTGAAATGGAAAGAGCTCTGAACGAAATGGACAAAGACAGAATTGCTGTATTTCTGGCAGAGAGGCAGTGTGATGTCCGCATGAACACCCTGAGTTCAAGTCATGTTGGAGGCATATGGGAACAGCAGATTAGGACAGTAAGAAGCGTACTCAGCTCTGTCCTTGCGAGCAGTTCAAGAGGACCGGACGGCGCTTCTTAAGGACGTTCTTCTATGAAGCCATGTCCATCATTAACAACCGTCCACCTTGAATGATTTTTTATTTATTTTATTTTTGCTTTTAAAGTGCTCTTTAAATGTCGCTTTAAAAGCAAAGGAAATACAGCACCCTCCATAATTATTGGCTGAGGTTAAGATGTGTTAAAAGCCTTAAAATAAATTCAATTTTTATTGCAGAAGCATACTCTCACACTGAAAATTGTAGAAAAATGTAACCTTCAACTCAACTCAAATGAATTGTTGGCAAAGGGGGTTGTACAAAGTATTAACATCAAGGGTGCTAATAATTTTGGCACAACCCTAACCCTGGCACACATAATTTGAAAGATGTGAAAGAATTATTTTTTAATGTGGGATTTTTTTCACACTGAACAAATGCACTTGAACTAAAGATTGAATTTCCCCCTTATTTTTTTTTCCATTGTCTATATTATTTAGAAAAATCTGAACTTACCAGAAGCTAAAGAACGATCTTCACCATTGGTGCCAATAATTACACAAGTACAGCCTTGTGTAGATTTGGGAAAGAAAGCATCCCAGAATGGATTTCGCGCCAACCAGCAAAAAAAAGCAGAGGAGAAAACTTTCAAAGGTAACAAGCTTTTTTTTTTCTTCTTAAATTACTACTCTTATTGTGACACATAATGTAGTTTTAAGATTATTTTAAGCCTATTTCATGAGTTTATTTTTAAAAATAATTCTGTTGAACCATGGTTCAAAAGAAAGGTCTGATTTTCATTGGTTAATTTTCATAAAATTTTTAATTACAATTACTGTTGTCAGATTCAAGTCATTTGTGTGACCATTGTGGGGTTTTCTTTCATTACCGGAGGGCTACCAACAATTTTGCCCACGTGTATATTTAGGGTAATCATGAGTTACTTAGTGGATGTATGTTCAATACATCACAAATACACAAATACAAATACACAAAGGAACAGCAGCCTGACGTCATAATATTGCAAGATTGTTGATGACAAGGCCTTTTAGAATGTTTGTTTACACAATCACTGAATATTTCTTTAGACAACTTACCTATTTTCATTTGGTTATTGCTAACACGCTGGCTTTGTTCGATGTTTGCCACCCCCAACAATAAGTCTGGAAATAGTAGATTTTTAATGTGTTTTGCTACTTTAACTGCAAAACGTTTTTAACTAACATAAGTTTTTATCACTAAGAACTTAACTTGAACTTAAAATGTTCATTCCTTTTAAATTGTTTAACCCTTCAAATGCCAGTTTGGTTGCACGATGGACTTGGTTTAAAACAACCCCAAAAATGACCATTGTCTACATTCCCTGTGCCATCCATTTCACTTCTTTTATAAAAAGAACAGTCTGAGATATGCAATTGATTAACAGTAACACTGATTATTATGCTTTAGGATTTTTGAGAAGAGATCAAAGTAGATAAAACTTCCACTCAGACCACCTCCTGATTGCATTCTTAAAATGCTTTAAAATGTATATTAACCAAATTTTCCACTTTCACCACTTGATTTCTTGAATTTGCATCACTTCTGACATGAAAATCAAAATCTCCTTTAAAATCTGAATTTCAACCCTTTAAACGCCTGTTTGACTCCATCATGCTCATGATTTATAAAGGGAGAAAAACACTAAATTACTTTTGATGAACCAAGTAAAACATGCTATCTAATAGTTTTTTTTTTAAACCATCATTGGAACTAAATGTATGTCAAAAATTATCAGAACAGTGATTTGTATTCATCATAAATTTGTTGTGCAGTGACCAAAAAAGATAAACTCCCACTCACCGTGTTTGTGGCCAAAAATGGCCGCCTCCTGTTTTTAAAAAATGCTATAAAAAAAAACATCACTTATTAACATTATTTTCTACTTTTACCAGATAAGTTCATGAAAGTAGAATCAGTGCTGAACGAACTTACTCATCTTCAGG